GTATATGGACGTGTGTGTGTGTGTGTGTGAAAGAGAGAGAGAGAGTTCTCTATAATATAATGCTGAATTATAATCCAACCCTTTCTTATAGCAGAAATTCAGTGGAAGTTTTTCCTGTTAGAATAGAGTGATAAGAGAAATTATAATTGCTTCATTTCAAGAGATAATTTTTTTAAAGCACAAGAAGAAGCCTTTCAAAACAACAAGCATACACAAACTATTTTAATTGTATGTTAATGCACTAGACTCTTTATAGTAATACCAGATTTTAAAAGGGTGCAGTTAAAATTATTAATACAGGGCTTTAATTTATGTGAGAAAGGAGAAAATGCAATATTACATAGGAAATCATAGTTGAGAAGCCCTGGGAAGGAGAGCTATAGAACAATGCTGGGCATTCAGGAGAAGCTTAATATAAGTGTGTTTCTTACAACCTGATCCCTCCAGTTAATTTGGATTACAGTTTACATGTCTGGGAATTATGAGAATTATAACCATAATCCAAGATATCCAGAGGACACTAAATTGAAGAGGAGTGGGATAGAACATGTCCAACTTCACCTGCACCATAGCTGAAAACATTTAGAATCTGAGAAATCAAATGTTGATATGAAAGTCTCTTGTCTATGGCAGGCTTAACATGCTTGTTTCCCATATTGAAACTGGCTGGAAATTAAGCCACTTTAAGGAATTGCTGTCCACATTTCAGTCTGTTTTTCAGCTTTGAGAACAATGCTAACCAGGTGATCTACCCAATTAGGATAGTCCCCAACTGATCATTCCCTTGCTTCTTTACCCTTTCCACCCATTCCAGGAAAGCAATGACATGAAGTCTTGTGGCTTCCATTGTTAGACCTTTTGTGTGAGTTCCTCTCTTCTGACTCCCTCTCGTACTTGACACCTTCCATCCAGCATTTCTTCTGGTGCCCAGGCATTCCACTTCACCTTCCTTCGTGTAACTTGGGGTAGAAGGGGAAACTGGCAGAATAGTTCCTGGGCTGTATTCATCCTGGTGAGTCTTAATGGAGGAGAACCACTTTCACACTGAAGCTTGATGTTCAATTCCAGAAGCTTATCTGAATACCAGCCTTTGATAGTTTTCACAGAAGGGAAAAGGGTTATGGACAAAGGAAATGGGATGCCTATTGTTTCCCATGAGGGGAAAGCCATCTTTTGGATTTATTTCATTTGGAGGAAAGAGTCAATGTGCTGCAGTGAACCAATATTGACATCACAGAAACCCATGGCTATGTAAATGGTATGTTGGATTACCTAGAAATGGTGGGTTCACACATGCTAAGCAATAAACCGTGTTTTATAAACCATGATAGATGGGTTCACATGAGGTACTTAGTCAAGAGCAATTAGCTGTCAATATGACTTAGTGAAATATATGAAGCAATCACTGTGATTGGACACAGTATATACAAAATACTGGCTGTGCATCTCTTTTGCAAAAGGTATGAAGCATGCTTTTGTTCTGTAGTGTGCCAATATGAGATAAAGAAAACAAGTGCCATATAAATTTGAATTTTGTATCAAGGAAAGATTTTTTTTCCTCTATTTGCTATAGCATAATAATAGAAGTAAAACATAATTTTTTTAAAAAAACTAACTTAGCTATATCCTGCTATGGGTAAAATAAAATGGCAGTGATACATTCCACCCCTACCCCACTTAAAATAAATACTTTTTTGTTGTGTATGTGTGTAATCTGAAACGTGTTATGATTTTCAACCTGCCTTGAGATCTTCAGGATAGTGGGTAGGCTACAGATATTTTTAATAAATAAGTAATAAACAAATGCGTAAGATTTTAAAATTGACGTATCAGGATTTCACGGCAATGAGCAGACATATTGGATTCCTTTTAAAATGAAACAAAGCCCGTGCAAGATGACATGGGCTTTGGTGAACCTGCTTTTTATGTTCGTTTTCATGTTAAAAATCTGTTTTAAGATTTTGCTTTGTGTTTTGTTATTTCAAATCAGGAGGTCCCATCCTATCCGTGGCTAAATGGAGTTTGCACCCAGGTCACTCAGCAGAGCTTCAGAGTACAGCTGCTCAGTCAGGTTGTTTGGCCTGAAAAGTTAGACATTAAAATCAGAACTCAGCTCTGCTTTCTATTCCATATCAAGCTTGAAGACGAAACCAGAAGAAGCTGTAGAACTTGTTTCAAAGGTGTATGTGTGGCCTGTGGCTGTCTCTGACGCCAGGGCGTTTGGGTGAAATGCCAAAGCAGCGAATGAATGAGCAATGAACCTACATATAATTACATTGTTTTAAGTGAGTTTGAGTGGTTAATTATTAATACTTATACTTCTATATCCAATCTGGCAGTGAACAAGATGAGCAGATTAAGCAGCCATTTATAGTCCTTTGATCTGTACTGATCTGTTGGGCAGTGGAATTAGGAAGGAAAGTAAATATTTTATTAATGGTTTATACTGTCTTTTCATATCACGAAGAAAGCAGTACATTTTCAGGTGATGAACGCTGCATCTTACTCTTTTGTATGACTAAGCAGAGCAAGACGCTTTTGATGGATGAACAAAATAGAATTATCTTCAACTCTAAATTTAATTTAATTTCATGTATTAAATTTGTTTTAGCTGCCCACTCTATTAGACTCTGGGTGGCCTACAAAATCCAGGAAACAATAAAAACAAACACACAGGCATTCCAGACTAAAACAGAGCAGTAAACTCTACAAATACAACAGGGCCCCTGCAAATACACAGAACCCCAGGCCTGGGAACAGAGCCAGGTCTTAAGGACTTTCCAGAACCTCAGGAGATGGGGCACCATTCGTATCTCCAGGTGGATGTTACAGTTATTAGTTCTTAATATATCTAACTGCTTGATCACACTGCATTTTTGGCTTTGTACACCAATTTTCATAATGTATTGGATTAACTCCTATAATCCTTATCTTAAGCTGGCAAAGGATTGTGAAAATGGGTCCAATATATCTGGAGGGCACAGAGAGCCAGTTTGATGTAGTGGCTAGAAACCAGAAGATGGTGAGATAGTCCCGCTTAGGCACAAAGCCAGTTGGCTGTCCTTGGACCAGTCATTTTCTCTCAGCCCTGGGAAGCAGGCAAGGAAAACCACTTCTGAACAACCTTGCCAAGAAAACTGCAGGAACTTGTCCAGGCAGTTTCTGAGAATCAGACACGATTGAATGGATAAAAAAAAAAGAAAATCTGGAGGGCACACCCATGAATATATAAACATACAGAGACACACAAACTTATATTTACATATTGAAAGGTGAACATTTTAAAAGTATACTTTTTAAAAATCCTTTCTTTATCTTTAGGATTACGACTCGTTTTTTGAATCCAAGGAAAGTAACACCGTCTTTGCATTTCTTCGCTTGAAGTCTAATTTGGCCTCAAAGGTGAATACTTTATAAACTGAAGTTTAATGAGTTGTGTTTGGCATTTCAGTGTATTTTAAGTTTCTTCTATAATCAGGGTGAAATGGGGAAGCAACATAAGCCATTTTAGACAGCTGAACCTGAAAAAAATCTCTGTATTTATCTTGCTGTCATTCATGAAGAAGGAAATACAAATCACCTCAGTTACAGGGCTACCATATCTAGGCTGCAAAACTCCAGATGGCCACTAGATAGGAGTGAAGAACTAAGAGTTTTCTGTTATCCCTCTGCTGCCATCTAGTGGTCATCCAGACACAGCCCTGTTCAATTATATTCTGGTAACTCAGCTGATTTGCTTCAGCTTTTTGGGAGGGTTCATTCTAACAGATTTTCAAAGAAGTTGGAAAAGGCATATTTCTTGCTGGCATTTGTTGTGACTTTATTGATCCCAGTGGGAAGATAGCTGAACTCTGCCCTGGTTAGATCTCTATAGATGTGGAATCCCCATGAGAAGAAGCCTGATAGTTCTGAACCTGAGAGGAATGGTTGTGTTAGCTGTCCTTGAAATTTTGGGAGAGACTTAGTGGCAAATGAATTGACTTACACACATTTTTTTATGGAGAGAAATGGCTTTGGTTACCTGCATGCTCCCTTATTTTATCTATTTGTTATCTAACCTTTTCTCTGTGTCCCTCTGCTGAATGATGTTCGGCAGGTATCTACTAGGAACAGGACTTCTTGTGTGGTAGGACCAGTTTTAGAGAGCATTTCCTTAAGGGAGCATTACAAGAATGCTGGCTTTTAAAGAAGATCTTTGTGATTAATTGGTTTGGAGGGTGTATGCTTTATTTAATAGAATAAAAAGAAAAACTAACAAAAAGAGAAAAGGCTCAAATATGAGTTGTACTTGATTTGTTGGCAGCAGTTTCTGTTATTTTCTATTTTTAATTCCTGCTGGTCAATGTTTAAAAATTTATTTATATGATTTTGCTAAGCCATGGCCATAATAGTGCTTTTTTAATTATTTATTCTGATGCTTTATTATTTCACTAATTGATATTGTACACATGAAATTATTTTTATAACCTACAAAAGGCTTATTAATAATACATATATGAGTATATTTTTTAAAAATAGGAATTGGAACCTTAGGAAAGTTCCTTGAAGATTCAAGAAGCACGTTGTCTGGGCGAATGAATTCCTCGACGTTCAGCACGCTACACCTTCCCTTGTGGATCACTGTGATACAAGCCAATATGCACCATTGGTATTTTGCTTGCTGCTGAAGAGGTGAAATAAGACAATGGATACAAAAAATGGGCCGATCGGTGGTGTTGGGTGCTCTTCCTTCTTTGCAAACATATCTGTAGTTAATCCTGTGGATCATTGTTCTGATATGCACTATTATTCCATTTGAATGATGACTTAAGGTTCTGAAGATGACATATGGCAGCTGAATCAGATCATGCATTATATAGTATCAGAGATTCAGGTGTTTACACTTCGCTGAGTTGAGAATTACTGCAGGGATGATCTATTGTTTTAACTATGATCACAAACATAGAAGTTAGCCATCTTGAGTTGCAAAGATCTCATTTTCCAAAATACCAAAGAGAGAGAGAGAGAGAAAGACAGACAGACAGACCGACAGACCAATAATTCTCTTTGCAGAACATCTAATAGTTGTGCTATACGTGCTGATGTGTTTATTGCCGTAAATGGGCCTAGTATGTATTCCTAGTGGGAAAAAAAGAGAATCAACATACGGTTGGGATACAGCAGTACAGTGTATAAGCCTTTCTGCATAAATGCCTAACCTCAGCAAGGATGTCTTTGCTTTGATGTCCATCTAAGAATAATCTCTTTGTGCAACCCAAGAGAGACCAAGCTCTGGTATTTAAGAACAATCCCAAATCAACTGATCAGTAAAACTAGCAAAGAAGAAACACTAGCCATCTGTGTCATTCTGAACAATATTGCCAAATTTTATATTTCTGTATGATAGATACTCTTCTATCTTCAATTTCAACCATTCATGCTTATTGCTGTCACTAAGATTAATTGTAGAGCCAAGTTCAAAACATGGAATGCGCCATGCATAGTGAGCAACATCTGTACAAGATGGAAGCCATGCTCGGTCACTTTAATGGGGAAGTGGGTGGGGATTCTTCAAGAAGGAAGCATTTTCTGCCTATAAAATGTGATATTTCATATGACTGTGTTGGGTGAAGACAATATAGTATCTTCCACTTATAAGTCACACAAGAACAGATAACCCAGTGGTATACATCTCTAAATGTGTGGGAGTACAAGAAAAATAGCTCAGCCCAGAGCACTATTATTTGGAAGTAAGTCCTATTATATTCAATCAAATTTAGCCCCTGAAAAATCTACACTTATTATTTAGATTCCCAAACTCTTATAAAAAATCACACCTCTTCATAGTTTTGGAAATCAGCTGCCTTCTTGTCAAAGCCACTCTGGATTTTTTGTTTGTTTGCTTTGGCTTAAAATTGGGCAGCCGCTGTTAGGATGTAGCCACCATTTCCCCAAGGACTTCTCTATAATTCTTTAAAAATGATGGCTGGCTGCATCAAACTGCTTGGAAAAGGAAGTGTGCCTGTTGGTACAGAAAAAGAAATGCAGAGGGAAGCTGAGGGAGCAGAGGGGTCCTGATGGGATGGCAGAAAGCAACTGCCCTTGTTTGTCTTGACAAACTCGTGTCTTGTGATTGGTCACACCACTGTAGCACCCACTATGTGGCTAGAGAAGCTCCTTCCTCACAGACACTTTGTAAGAGCACCCAGGTCCTGTTTTGTTTTTTGTGTTCAAAAACTCCAGATGTGTCTCACCCCAGTCTTGCACTATAGAGCAACATGTAATCTTCCTTTAGATTAGGACGAAATGACTTGATGAAGTATGTTACTTCATTGTATACACTGAGTTTCTCCACTTGCTAGAGTTTTTGTTTTATCTTTCATCTAGATGTCCTTTCTATGAGCCTCTTGATAGGGCAATAAATTCAGATGTTATCCTTATATAGATCTGGGGTGCAAAAATCTGGAGGACCAATAGATGGTAGAAAAAAGCTGCCCCCTCCAAAATCACCCTAGCCCTTTGCTGCCATCTAGTGGTCATTGACTTTTCAGCCCAGATCTGTTAGCTGCATCCAGGGATTAGAGAACAAAAAAGAGGGAAAAGTCTAGATTTAATAGCAAAAACACAGGAAAGCATGATCTGTATTCAGTTATTCATTCAAAGCTCAGGGAAGTTTCTGAAGCATTTGCTATGGACAGGTATTTTAAGGAAGTGGGAAATTTTAAGAATCCACTGTGCTATCCATTCTACTATATACGTGCAAATCCTTGGGCATACTTAACGTAGGATGGGATTTTAGCTAATTTTAATTACAAGATGATATAAATGTTGGTTTTGTTTTGCTTTGGATTGTTTTTTTGGAAGAGGGAGCATATTAGAATGCAATAGCAAAAAGTGTCCTATTTTCATGTCTGTATCAGATCTCTTAAGCTCACTAGTGAATGCTGTTCGGTGTTGAATTAAATGTTTCGCTTTTTTAAATAAAAATTTGGTCAAACTTTCATTTTGCTTGCTATTAATGTCTCATTCTTTTTTTCTTTTAAAATCACTAAGTATTGCAATGTATCTTCTATTCTTTACAATTAGCCATCTTTCTTTTGAAGTTAACAAGACTCTTAAGTAGCTAGCTCCTTGGTTTATCACCCCCAAACAACTAGCACCTATATCAGGAAATAAATTGGGTTTGTTATTCGCTTGTATGTAATTAGCAATCCTGTTTGATCCATCTAACAGTTAAAACTTTTTAAGTATTGCAGGTTCTCTTTAGTTTTTTTCTTTTTTAAATAAAAAAATAGAATTGGGAATACATGTTTGCAAACATTAGGTTGCAGCCATGTTACTAGAAGAAGCGAAAGATAAATGAGGGCAGAGGTCATTTAATGGATATAAAAGGGGGGGGTGACTTTGAGATAATCACGTGAGTTCAACCCCCTACCCAGTACAAGAATCCAGTATTACAGTTGGTTTCCAAACATGTGTTGACAATATAATGTACTGTTTGGCCTATATTTTTGGCATCCTAGTCCTAAATATCTGTGCAAACAAGCTTTACATTGTAAGAGTTGTTCTGGAGGTTCTTCTGGATGTACAGTACTGTGCAAAAGTTTTAGGCAGGTGTGAAAAAATGCTGCAAAGTAAAAATGCTTTCAAAAATATATATTGTAATTGTTTATGTTTATCAATTTACAAAAT